ATTTTGTTTTCTTTTTTTACACTGCTTTTACACCGATAAAGGCTGTAAAAGCAATCATTTCTCCTCTCTGGCCATTGAGAAATACTGTGAGAGCTGTGATTGGTCACAGCTTATCACATGGTACAAGGCTGTTGTGAATAGCCTTGTACCATGTGACCTCTGTGATCATTCACAGATTTCACTAGTAGTAAGCAATGATGTCATGACATCTTGCTTACTACTATTCATGTGATCACTGATTGGCCAATCAGTGATCACATGAATCAGGACCTCACACAGAGGTCCCGTACAATGATTGGTGTTAAGCTGGCTATAGATGGGTAGAATTTGAACAACAATTCTTAGGAAAAGAATGTTCTAAGAAAGTTTGTTTTCTTAATCATTATTGGGTCATATCAACATTCGTTTTTTTGATCCCAATAACAAGAAAATTTTAAGGCATAGGATGGAAAACATTTTTCAAATTAATTTTCCCCAAAATCAAATGTTAAAAACAAACGAAAGCTTTTCAAACGACATTTGAAGTTCTGAGAATTTTCATACAAATTTTCCTAAGAATTTTCATTTGAAATTCTGTCCATCTACTGTATATGACCAGCTTTAGTCACCTACCTCTGTACACTTTTGTGAGTGCATTTGAGCCCTTTTAATATATTTGTTTCATATTTCAGCATACTGCACAATGATCTGTTGCGCTGGTGGTTTTTTCTCATTGGCTTTATTTAAAGTATGTGTAAACCCTCACCTTATAAAACAACCCATTCAGTTTAAAATATAAATGAAAGGCAAAACATTTGTGTATGGATATAAAAATTAAAAACACTTTTTTCATAGTGATCACACAACCTCTGTTCTCCGCTATGTAAAAGCTGGGGGAGGAGAAACAAAATTACACTGATCTTCATCAATGAAAGACTTTGCAGGGGGAGGTGTGTCAGGACAAGTCTGATTATTGGTGGAGAGCACACTGATCTTCATAGTGAAATTCTGTGCGGGGGGGGAGGGGTCAGGACAAGTCTGATCATTGGAGGACAGCAGGCTGAGTTCCCAGCACAGCTAAAGAACTCACCACGGTGTGTTCTACTGCCTAGTGTGGTCGGATTTTAATAGGAAAGCAGAGTGACTGGCAAGAACAGCAGGAATTTCACACAAAGGACCTGTTGTTGAGTATTCTTAGATTTGTGTATTTTTATATAACACTACAAAAATAAGCATCTATACAAAAACAACTATAAAAAAAACTGAAATACAACATACAAAAAAAAATAGAAGAGTTAAAAAATAAAATAAGGACAAAAAATAGCCAAATGTTTTAATGCTGATTTTGGTTAACAAGGAGTTAAAAGAACAAATTGTACTAAAAATAAAATCTCTTCACTTCTAAGGATGCACTGACATTATGTGCAGATCAAAGAACACTCCTTTGATCTGCACACAGAGATTAATCCACATACATTGTTACAATGCTATTGATCAATATATTTATGAATGAAGCCTGCAAACAATGGCAGCGACTGAGACACAGAGCGGAACTTAACTATTTCAATGAGCAGATTGCCAATGGCAGTGGTTGAAGCTTCATTCCTGTGGGTAGAGCCCAAGGCACTTAGATTAGGCTTTTTTTTTTTTGCATATCTTGCTAGCTTAAAGTGTATCTAAACTCAAAAACAAAAAATAATATATTGTGGCCCACCAATCCCTGGATGTGGTGGCTGCATTTGTGTTTTTAGGCTTTTATCCTTTTTTTTTCACCTTGCGATCCAGCTAGTAATACACTTCCTGTTTTAGGGTGTCTCCACTTTGGATGGAGAAGCAATGGAGACACCCTTGGACAGCAGCATCATTAGTCTGAGGATACCGTTAGCCTGGCAGATTTATATGGACTTGACTAACAAACTCAAGCTAACATTTTTTAAACAGTTACGGCAGTTTTTTTTTCATTTGGGATTAAGGTTTTTTTTTTTTTAATAAAATTTGATCATTGTAGGTACCTCTGTCAGTGGTAAATGGTTGGTCTCAACCTTCGAACTGCCACTTTGTCTGGACAGCTTGGTTTGGTAAAGGAAGTTGAAAAATTACAGACTTGCTGACAGAATTACCAGGTGTAAATAAGGGCAAAAAAGCCCAAAAAAAGGAAAACTAATGAAGCCATTTATAGGATGGGTAAGCTGCAATATAATACATTTTTGTTTTAGTAGTTTTTACCACTTTAAGGTCTTTAACATGTTAAGACATTTCAGTTGATAAATAAGCAATGCATACAAATATTCAATAAATAAATAGTGTGGCGCTCAAAAATAAATAAATAAATAAATAAATATTTAAATATAAATAGGTGACTAATTCATATAATGCAATCTATAAAATACTCCAAAAATAACATAGAATAAAATTATATAAATAATATCAATTTATAATAAATATCTGTGTATCATGTATGACTCAAGTGATCACACGCTAAATTAATCTAGTGTCTCAAATAAATAATAACAAATCGTGCTTATACATGAAAAAATTGTGACCAGGTGGTATTACAGCCTATATAAAGAAAAAAAAGTGCTATAGTGCCAAAATAGTGCAAAAAACGTTTGTCCAATCTTTCAAAAAATCAATTGAAAACAATGTCCATCAGGTGATAAATATAATCATGCAATGTGTAGTGATAAACAATTGGTGATTTGTGCCAAAATCTTCTCCCAACGGTGGCTAGATTTCCTCCTCACCTCCTCCCAGTGACCCCTAGGGGCCAGCAGGCTTGCAGGATCACCCTGGATCCTTAATTCAAATAGGCCAGCAGCTTTCCTCCTTCATTGGATCTCTTTGTGGGGCTCCTATTTCCCTTACTCAGCCAAGGTGTCTCTGAAGAACAGTGGCTCACCAATCAAGTGAGCCAAGAAAGAAAACACCCTCTAAGTGTAGTATTAAATGACTCCTTTATTAAAAGTTTAGAGTAACAACACTCACATTTCCTGGCAGTCCTCCCTCCCCACCGATATGTGGGTACACTGCATGTGAATGGGACTTCCTAGGTGTAGCAAGATGGCGCCGCACGCCGGAAAGTGCTAAATTACCTTCAGACCAGAAAAATGCTTTTGTAAAACATTTATTGTCGAATGGACAATATATCAATAACAGCCCAGTATATGAGATGCTTATCAAAGTAAATATTTCTGTGCTGGCTCTTTTTGCCAATAAACTTTTTTAGTGAATGCCTATTTATTATCGCAGATCTCCAATCTTAGAAATCCTGGAAAATGTTCATAGGCAAAAAAAAAAAAAACACATCTGGAGCCATCACCTCTTTCAATAGCTGTCTCCATTATCTTCTGGCTCATCTGAATACACTAAAATAAAACAATCCCATTTATTATTGGTCCAATATATCATGATTATTATATAAAAGTGCTGAATTGTAAGGGGCCTATGGGATATGTGTAGTGACATCATTGTTTAGATCTTGCAGCTGTCAGGAATGGACTGGCCAGCAATGGTGGGACTCACCTGCCTTATGAGCTGCAGTACCAGGGCTGGCCAGCGGGTGCTCCCAGCAATCAGAGACTCAACCTTGCAGCCAGTCAAACACCTGGAACTGATTATACTGGTGTATTTTAAGGGATGGCCAGACCTGCAGACTCTGCCTTGGTGTGTGTTTCTCCTGGTCCCTGTATCCTGTTCCTGCTCCCTGTTCCTGTCTGATTCGTTGCTGACCCTGCTCTGATCCCTGGCTTTGTCTGACCATTCTCCTGCTCCTGATCCCTGGCTTGTCTGACCATTCTCCTCTGCCTGACCCTCTGTACCACGCTGCCCGCTACCTGCTGAACCTGGCTTGTGACCCCGACCATTCTCCGCTTGCTCCCCCTGTACCTACCTGCCCGATTGATATTGACCCGGCCTGCCTGACGACGCTTGTATTGTATGTACTGTCATCTGTGGGTGGTTGTTTGTTTGCACTGTGTTATGTTTTAGTATTGCACTGCGTTTATGTTTTGTATTGTTTAGTGTTAATAAATTATATTTATAACATATCTGAAGTCTGCGTTTCCCTGCGTCAGTCACATACCTCTGGTCATACCCGGAGCACTGACATTACACCAAGGCCAATCCTGACCAGAAGTGGCTGCACAGGGAAGCCATCTTGGTTTGTTTGATGGAAAGGATGGATCTTGATGAGGTTGTGTATTTATAATCTGCTAGTGTTTGATGACAGAGAGTATGCTTATCAAACTCTGAAGGAGTATCCCCAGGATGAACTGCTAGAATGTACACAGCTCGCTCATGTTCTAGTAGATCAGGGCACAGAATTCTCTAAGGGTGCAGCCCATTGATTCAGATTTGTGCGGAGTTGGTTTCATCTGGTACCCCCGAATGCAGGGATGAATTTTTGCCAGCATTTAGTGCCGACCAGGTAGAGTCCCTGGTATGGTTATTAGAGGATGATGTGGATTGCTTCTTGGAGCATTATGCTGCATGTTCACCACAGTTACTAAGAGATTGTATAAACGCAGTGCAGTCATTGACCAGACAGGCTTTGTGTAAGCTCAGCTTTGTTCAAACCCATACTGCAGACATGGACAGATTTGTTGCACCCAGCCTCAGTCAGCTTACAAAAACCCAGTCCTGCTTCTAATCTATTTCCTCAAAGCTCTATTCCTGCATTCCCAACAGCTCCTCCATGCCCCTGCTATCTACCGCATGTCAGTACCCTGTTCCCACTCGCTGCACCTATCCTGCCTTTAACCCTGTAAAAAAGCCCCTCTGTAGCAACTGCTCCCTCCCCTGTTCCATCCTCCAGCTCTTCTCTGTCTCCAGCTGCTCCATTCGTTTGCAGACCTGCGTTTACTTGCAGTGCTCCAGTAGTTAAAACCAGAAAAAAGCGAAAATTCTTTCCAACCATACCATCCTGCCAGTATCCAAACCGGTGAGCCTGCCGTCTGAGAACCTGCCTTCCGTGGTTCAGCCTGGTGCCCTAGGCACCACCCGCACTTCAGCCTGAGGGCCTGTACCCAGCCTGATGCCTGTACCCAGCCTGATGCCTGTCTTCAGCCTGATGCCTCTTCTTTCCGCCTGATGCCTCTTTCCGCCTGATGCCTCTCTTCAGCCTGATGCCTCTACTCAGCCTGATGCCTCCACTCAGCCTGATGCCTCTACCCAGCATGATGAACTGATCCCAGCCTGATGATCCTATTAGGCCAGTTGACTCGATGCCCGCTGTTGATCCAGATGATCCGGTACCTGATCCGGTGCCCGCTGTCGTGCCAATTGGACTCAGAGCCCGCTGTCGTACCTGGTGACTCGGTGCCCACTGCCTTGCCAGATGACGCGGTGCCCGCTGGCGAGCCAAATGACCTGATGCCCTGGTGACCCCAGTGCCCGCTGTCATACCTGGTGACCCGATGCCCGCAGTCGAGCCAGACGATCCAATGCTGGTGACCCGGTGCCCACTGCCTTGCCAGATGACGCGGTGCCCGCTGGCAAGACCAAATGACCTGATGCCTGGTGACCCAGTGCCCGCTGTCATACCTGGTCACCCGATGCCCGCTGTCGAGCCAGACGATCCAATGCCTGGTGACCCGTGCCCACTGCCTTGCCAAATGAACGCGGTGCCCGCTGGCAAGCCAAATGACCTGATGCCTGGTGACCCAGTGCCCGCTGTCATACCTGATGACCCGATGCCCGCTGTCGAGCCAGACAATCCGGTACCTAATGACCCAGTGCCCGCTGTCGTGCCAATTGACTCAGAGCCCACTGTCGTGCCTGGTGACTTGGTGCCCACTGTCTTGCGGATGACGCGGTGCCCGCTGTTGAGCCAAATGACCTGATGCCTGGTGACCCGATGCCCCTGTCCAGCCAGACGATCCAATGTCTGACCCAGTGCCCCCGCGGTCATACCAGTTGACTCGGAGCCCACTGCCTTGCCAGATGACGCGGTGCCCGCTGTCGAGCCAAATGACCTGATGCCTGGTGACCCGATGCCCGCTGTCCAGCCAGACGATCCAATGTCTGACCCAGTGCCCCAGCGGTCATGCCAGTTGACTCGGAGCCCACTGTCGTGCCTGGTGACTCGGTGCCCGCCGCTCCGCCTGGGGGCCCGAGACCTGTCGCTCCGCCTGGGGGTCCGGCGCCCCCGCCGCTCCGCCTGGGGTCCGGCGCCCGCCGCTCTGCCTGGGGGCCTGAGACCTGTCTCTCTCCTCTTGGGGGTCCGGCGCGCCCGCCGCTCCGCCTGGGGGCCCGAGACCTGTAGCTCCGCCTGGGGGTCCAGCCCGATGCGCCTCTGCCCGGAGTCCAGCCCGATGCGCCTCTGCCCGGAGTCCAGCCCGGTGTGCCTCTGCCCGGAGTCCAGCCCGATGTGCCTCTGCCTCTGCCCGGAGTCCAGCCCGATGTGCCCTCTGCCCGGAGTCCAGTCCCGATGTGCCTCTGCCCGGAGTCCAGCCCAATGTGCCTCTGCCCGGAGTGCAGCCCGATGTGCCTCTGCCCAATGTGCCTCTGCCCGGTGTGCCCCTGCCCAGTGTGCCGCTGCCCGGAGTCCTGCCCAGTGTGCCGCTGCCCGGAGTCCTGCCCAGTGTGCCGCTGCCCGATGAGTCCTGCCCGGTGTGCCAGTCTTTGATATCCCGCCAGTTACCAGACCCGGGCGGTGGAACATTTTGCCCAGCTAGGACTGTTTTGGAGCGTCCTGAGGCCGCTCCTTGAGGGGGGGTACTGTCAGGAATGGACTGGCCAGCAATTGTGGGACACTCAATTGTGAGACTCAACCTTGCAGCCAGTCAAACACCTGGAACTGATTATACTGGTGTATTTAAGGGATGGCCAGACCTGCAGACTCTGCCTTGGTGTGTGTTTCTCCTGGGCCCTGTATCCTGTTCCTGCTCCCTGTTCCTGTTCCTGTCTGATTCGTTGCTGACCCTGCTCTGATCCCTGGCTTTGTCTGACCATTCTCCTGCTCCTGATCCCTGGCTTGTCTGACCATTCTCCTCTGCCTGACCCTCTGTACCACGCTGCCCGCTACCTGCTGAACCTGGCTTGTGACCCCGACCATTCTCCGCTTGCTCCCCCTGTACCTACCTGCCCGATTGATATTGACCCGGCCTGCCTGACGACGCTTGTATTGTATGTACTGGTGACTTGGTGCCCACTGTCTTGCCGGATGACGCGGTGCCCGCTGTTGAGCCAAATGACCTGATGCCTGGTGACCCGATGCCCGCTGTCCAGCCAGACGATCCAATGTCTGACCCAGTGCCCGCGGTCATACCAGTTGACTCGGAGCCCACTGCCTTGCCAGATGACGCGGTGCCCGCTGTCGAGCCAAATGACCTGATGCCTGGTGACCCGATGCCCGCTGTCCAGCCAGACGATCCAATGTCTGACCCAGTGCCAGCGGTCATGCCAGTTGACTCGGAGCCCACTGTCGTGCCTGGTGACTCGGTGCCCGCCGCTCCGCCTGGGGGCCCGAGACCTGTCGCTCCGCCTGGGGGTCCGGCGCCCGCCGCTCCGCCTGGGGTCCGGCGCCCGCCGCTCTGCCTGGGGGGGCCTGAGACCTGTCTCTCCTCCTGGGGGTCCGGCGCCCGCCGCTCCACCTGGGGGCCCGAGACCTGTAGCTCCGCCTGGGGGTCCGGCGCCCGCCGCTCCGCCTGGGGGTCCGGCGCCCGCTGCTCCGCCTGGGGGCCTGAGACCTGTCGCTCCGCCTGGGGGTCCGGCGCCCGCCGCTCTGCCTGGGGGCCCGAGACCTGTCGCTCCGCCTGGGGGTCCGGCATCCGCCGCTCCGCCTGGGGGCCCGAGACCTGTCGCTCCGCCTGGGGGTCCGGTGCCTGTCGCCCCGCCTGGGGGCCCGATGCCTGTCGCCCCGCCTGGGGCCCGATGCCTGTCGCCCCTCCTGGGGGCCCAATGCCTGTCGCCCCTCCTGGGGGCCCGGTGCCTGTCGCCCCGCCTGGGGGCCCGGTGCCTGTCGCCCCGCCTGGGGGCCCGGTGCCTGTCACCCCACCTGGGGGCCCGGTGCCTGTCGCCCCGCCCGGGGGCCCGGTGCCTGCTGCTCCGCCTGGTGGCCCGGTGCCTGCTGCTTCGCCTGGTAATCCGATGTGCCTCTGCCCGGAGTCCAGCCCGATGCGCCTCTGCCCGGAGTCCAGCCCGATGCGCCTCTGCCCGGAGTCCAGCCCGGTGTGCCTCTGCCCGGAGTCCAGCCCGATGTGCCTCTGCCCGGAGTCCAGTCCGATGTGCCTCTGCCCGGAGTCCAGCCCAATGTGCCTCTGCCCGGAGTGCAGCCCGATGTGCCTCTGCCCAATGTGCCTCTGCCCGGTGTGCCCCTGCCCGGTGTGCCGCTGCCCGGAGTCCTGCCCGGTGTGCCAGTCTTTGATATCCCGCCAGTTACCAGACCCGGGCGGTGGAACATTTTGCCCAGCTAGGACTGTTTGGAGCGTCCTGAGGCCGCTCCTTGAGGGGGGGGTACTGTCAGGAATGGACTGGCCAGCAATTGTGGGACTCACCTGCCTTATGAGCTGCAGTACCAGGGCTGGCCAGCGGGTGCTCCCAGCAATCAGAGACTCAACCTTGCAGCCAGTCAAACACCTGGAACTGATTATACTGGTGTATTTAAGGGATGGCCAGACCTGCAGACTCTGCCTTGGTGTGTGTTTCTCCTGGGCCCTGTATCCTGTTCCTGCTCCCTGTTCCTGTCTGATTCGTTGCTGACCCTGCTCTGATCCCTGGCTTTGTCTGACCATTCTCCTCTGCCTGACCCTCTGTACCACGCTGCCCGCTACCTGCTGAACCTGGCTTGTGACCCCGACCATTCTCCGCTTGCTCCCCCTGTACCTACCTGCCCGATTGATATTGACCCGCCTGCCTGACGACGCTTGTATTGTATGTACTGTCATCTGTGGGTGGTTGGTTTGGTTTGTTTGCACTGTGTTATGTTTTAGTATTGCACTGCGTTTATGTTTGTATTGTTAGTGTTAATAAATTATATTTATAACATATCTGAAGTCTGCGTTTCCCTGCGTCAGTCACATACCTCTGGTCATACCCGGGAGCCCTGACAGCAGCTATCCATTTGGCCTTTCCCCACTTCCAGCCTATTTACTGGATCATGAATGCGTTACCCCAAATGTATGCTTGATCTTGCCTGTATGCCGCATCACCCTCTACAGCTCCCAATGCCTGAAACATGCTAGGATGATAACAGTGAGCAATAGAATTGGATTGGGTAGAATGCTGCTTTTTGCAGTCTCCAACTGATTTCAGGTGTGCATTCAACTATGCAAATTTTAAAAAGATATATTTTCATAAATTATTCTAGCTGTATTTTAAATTTGCTAACCTAAGGGATGAGTTCAACATTTTTTAAATAAAAACTGTATTTTTATGTAGAGATATGATTTTTTTTAATTATCAATAATCCTCTATATCAGGGGTGTCTAACTCAATTTAATTGTAGACTGCATCAGCATTATGGTTGCACTCAAAGGGCCGGTTGTATCTGTAAGACTAGCTGCCCAGAACCCCCCCTATATCAGATGTCAAGCGCCCCATACCATCAGAGGTTAAAAGTCCCCCACCCTCTCTTACATCACAATGCCCTCCTTACCTTGTACTGATAGTGGGAAGAAGCTGGGAAGCAAAAAGTGCAGAGTCTGGAGAAGGACCAGAGGAGGGCTGGAGTCAGCTGCAAAGAGTCTACTGGATGCTGAGACCAGGGGAGTGCTGCAGCTGCACAGAAAGCATGGGCGGACTGACCATTTGGAAACTCGGGAACTGCCCGAGGGCCCGGGGTCAGTAGGGGGCCCCATGAGATGCCCCTGGTACCTTTTTCATAGGCTTTTTTGAGTTTGGGCAAGGACACAGGGGCCCATGATCCCCTAATGCCCGGGGGCCCCATGAGTGGTCAGTCCGCCCCTGACAGAGAGGCACAAGATTTGCAGAAGGAGTTCTGTTCTTTCTGCTGACTTCACACCAGTAGATGGCTTATGCACTAACATGAATTTACCCTTCATTCTTCATACATAGGCTAGTGAAGCACTAAGCACTTTTTTTTTACCATTTTCTGCAAATGTGGGTGCATTTATTTATTTATTTTCCAAAATACTTACTTAGCCTTGTCAAAACTACCCTTATAATGGAGATCCCTCACTACAAGGGTTAAATGTATGTTTCAAACTGACCTTCAGGCACAGGGTACAACTGTGGTAGCTCACACTATACATCACACTCTGAATGAAAAGGGATGCTATGGTAGGAGACCCAGAGGAGCCCACTGCTTACACAGAAATATAACAAAGCCAGGGGCGGACTGACCATTTGGAAACTCGGGCACTGCCCGAGGGCCCAGGGTCAATAGGGGGCCCCATGAGATGCCCCTGGTACCTTTTTCATAGGCTTTTTTGAGTTTGGGCAGGACACAGGGGCCCCATGATCTCCTATTGCCCGTGAGCCCCATGAGTTATCAATCCGCCCCTGAACAAAGCCATATTTGAGTTTGCCAAACCTTATCTGAGGAAGCCAAAATCCTTTTAGGAGA